TCACTCACTCACTGACCCACTCACTCACTGACCCATTCACTCACTGACCCACTCACTCACTCACTGACCCACTCACTCACTCACTGACCCATTCACTCACTCACTGACCCATTCACTCATACATTATTGTTACAATCCCTAATATGTATGTTAATTTTACTTTTCTCAGGGCAGCAGCAGGTTTGTGGGCAGCATGGGCAACGGACATAACAGCAGCAGTTCTGAGGGCAACACTGGCAGCAGCAAATACAAAAGAGGATGATGAGGAGGAGGGCCCCGATGATTAAGAAGAGTACTGTCAGCCAACCTGAAAAGACAAAGATACACGTTAAGTTATTAGAAGGCCCAAATTCTACAATAAGCTGTAGATTTAAAGACAAGAATGACAAAGTCCTACCCATCTCAAGCATGGTTTCCAGTCCCATAATTATTATATAACAAACAATTTAATTTCCCAATATAAAGAAGAGAAGCTGCTTACCGTAAACAATGACCTTGATATATTGGTTTGGATATCCACTTGTGTCTCCAGGAGCATCAACAGAGCACACATAGACACCATTGTCCCACCACATCACCTCTGTGATCACCAGGTCTGCCTCTGATAGAGAGACAGAGATAGAGTAAGAGAGATACCAAGAAACAGAGACAGTCAGTAGAAGAATAGTAAGACCACTCAATCTAGAAGCTTAACCATTAAGTCATAACTACTACAGACAAAGGTCACTGAAAAATACAAACATTTGTAACTGCATCTTGCTTCTTGCTACAAAACTGAGTAAAAAATAAAAAAATGAAAGAACACGCAACATGATATCCATAAACCTAAAAACATATTTTTAAAAAATCTACTCATATTATCATTACATCTTATCATTACTTTCATTTGCAATCGAAGAGTCAAATGGTGAACTAATCCTGCACCAGGCCACAAGATAAGTAGGCTAATAGGAGATTCTGGAGGGTGATTAGTCAGTACTGACCAATCTGTGCAAAATATAATAAAAAGCTCAAAAGTCAATTAAATTCTTGTTCAACATTAGTTTTATGCAGTCATTACCTTTGCTGAAGCATAACGTTATGGAGATTTATGAAAGCACATCTCATTCAGTGGTGTTAGATACATTATGAGAAAATGATAAATAAAGTTGTAGGGAGGTGGCAGTGGTGCAGGAATTAATTTCAGGGAAGTATGCGGAAATATACTAATATAAAATCACTGTTTTCTCTGTACATTAAATCGATAATTGAGACACACATATTTTGCATGGATGTCAGACAGAAGTAGGAGCGATGATGGCATGAATTTGTCATTTTAATCATTTAAGGCACAATCTACAATCTACCTATCTACAATGTACTACTCTCTTCATATTAATAACGCTGGTATAAAACACCTTTATTACATGCATTCTCTGTACTGCTTATCCAACACAGGTCATGAGGGAGTCTGGAGCCTGTCTCAGGGGACTCGTGGCAAAAGGCGGGGAACACCCTGGTTGGGTGCCAACCCCAGAACACAATCGAACATGCACACACACACACACACACACACTACAGACAATCTAGAAATGCCAATCAGCCTCCTGTCTTTGGACTGGGGGAGGAAACCAGGGTACCTGGGGGAAGCCCCCCAAAGCACGGGGAGAACATACAAGCTCTGTGGACATAGGGCGGAGGCGAGGTTCGAACCCCCAACCCCAGAGATGCGAGGCAACAGTGCTAACCACTAAGCCACTAAGCCACCATGCCCCTTTATTCCAGTTCCACTGAAAATCGTTAAAATGCTAGATGGTAGTAGTAGGGGAAAATGACATTTTATTTTATAAAACCAGATCTGGCCCTAGCTAGAGCCCTGTGTAGTGGTAGGTCCCTTGAGATATGTTTAAAAATATTCATTATAATAATTTTGGCTATTGGAGGATAAAATTAAACTTACATTTCCATTTACTAATTTGATAGATGCTAAGGGACTTGTTCAAGGAAATAACAGTGGTTCTTTGGCAGCCCTGGGATTTGAACTCATATCGTTTTGGGCACTAGGACAGAATCTGCTGATCTATTACTTAAAATAAATAATAATCCCATGCTGCAGGAGATCCTAAATGAACAATGAAACAGACGTACTGTTCTGGACGGTGATTCTGCGCCCGCTGTATTCTGGACCCAGTGTGGCCTCGTTGGTGCCGTATTTCTGAGCCACAGTCCGGACGGTGCGCTGGCTATCTGGGCAGTCATTGGACGGGTCCTGACCCATCTGCAGAGCAGCCTGGTAGGCTGAAGAGTAAGTTTAGAGACAGCCAACAAAACATATTTATTAAAACCTATGAAACTCATTCATCATATGTTCAAAAAGGATAAATACACTGCCTGGCCAAAAAAAAAGTTGCACACACTAATATTTGGTTGCACCGCCTTAAGCTTTGATTACAGTGTGCATTCGTCATGGCATTGTTTCGACAACCTTATGCAACATCACAACATTTAGTTCCGTCCAGAGTTATATTAATTTTTGGCTGAGATCTTGTACTGAGGACGTGAGAGTTGAACCACTCTGTAAAGTCTTCTCCAGCACATCCCAAAGACTTTCAATGGGTTAAGGTTAGGACTCTGTGGTGACCAATTCATGTGTGAAAATGATTCCTTATGCTCTCTGAACCACTCTTTCACAGTTTGTCATCCTGGAATATGCCTGTGCTGTCAGGGAAGAAAAAATCCATTGATGGGATAACCTGGTCATTCAGTACTCAGCTGACTTCATTTTATTGCTGCATAATGCTGCTGAGCCTAGACCTGACCAACTGAAGCAATCCCAGATCATAACACTGTCTCCAGAGGGTTGTACAGTAGGCACTATGCATGACGGGTGCATCGCGTCATGTGCTTCCCTTCTTACCCTGACACGCCCATTGCTTTGGAATAGGGTAAATCTGGACTCATCAGACCACATGACCTTTTTCCATTGCTCCACAGTCCAATCTTTAGAATCCCTAGCAAATTGAAGTCATTTTTTTCCGATTATCCTGATTAACAAGCGGCTTTCTTGTGGCCACACAGCTGTTTAGTTCCAATCCTTTAAGTTCTCATCGCATTGTGCGTGTGGAAATGCTCTTACTTTCACTATTAAACTCATTAATCATGAGTTCTACTGTCAGTTTTTTACGATGTGACATCACCAAGCGTTTTAAAGATCTCCGATCATGATCATTCAAGATTTTTTTCCGACCATATTTCTTCCGCAAAGTTGACAGTTCACCACGATCCTTCCAGGTTTTAATAATGCGTGGGACAGTTCTTAACCCAGTTCCAGTGATTTCAGTAATCTCCTTAGTTGTTTTCTTTGCTTGTTGCAGGCCAATAATTTGCCCTTTCTGAAACACAGTAACATCTTTTCCACGACCATGGGATACGTAATCTGCCATGGTTGTTTAAGAAATGAGAAGCTGCACACTGCATCAGTTAGGGTTAAAAGAATTGTTGCCAGCTGAAACATATTAATCACTGCAGTAATGATCCGATCATAGGCTCTTAAATATTTGCTTATTTAAATCCAAACAGTGACCTTTTTTTTGGCCAGGCAGTGTATGTTACAGTGCCTTTTCATAGAAATTAAATAAATTACACTTGTCTCCAACTGAACTATATTCAGCAAACCTCCCCTTCACAGGCTGACCGAGTGATTCATTCAGCAATCAGCAATTTTGTTACTTTCTCAGAAAAAATGTAAAATTATTATTAATTCTACATTTAGGCCTTAGATAGAATTCATAATCACCCAGTTAGATTACAAGTTACAAACTGAGTAATGGAATAAAAATCTACATTAAAAACACTTACCTTTTAAAGTCTGTAAAGGCCTTACACTAAGAAGAGCTTTTATGGGTCTATACTAGACAGAAATTCTGACTGGTTGTTAGAATGTAGCTGACACAAAAGCACATATACAGAGCTAATGAAGGTAAATCTTTTCTAGCACGCCCTTCCTTCAACTTTTTACAAGCTGTTCAGCAGCACCTGTGGTTCAGCTCCTAGAAGCATGCGGTTAAAACCCTGCGGGCCGTTCTGACCCCTCACCTGTGGAGTAGTAGTCCAGCACAGGGTCTTTGCAGAAAGACTTGTAGAGCCAGGTGACCAGCACGTTCTGAAGGTTAGCTGAAGTGGAATAGTCACAGCGCAGCGTGATCGGGACAAAGAGACCTGTGCCGTATTCCGTCTTAGGCACCGTCACCTGAACCGAAAATACTCCTGTATGAGAAAGACAAATAGACATTGGTGAGGAAAGATTTCTAAAGAAAAAACAATACACTAAAATATGTCAATATTTGTTATATATAGTAGCATGTCATACAGTATATAGTAATTAATATATGAGGACATGTAAAAAAAAAAAAAAAAAGATGAGGGTGTTGCAGCTGTAAAGTCTGATTGAAAATCACTAAAAACAATTTCACTGTTGCCACAACAACAACTAAAAATAGATAAGCCACTGTGAGGGTTTTTTTTTTTTTTGTCTTTTATTAAATTATACAACCTAAGTTGACACAGGTTATTAATAGAAGACAAATGGACATAAAGAACCTGCAAAATAACACCTTTTATTTAAAAAAAAAAAAAAAAACTTTGTTATTTGCCAACACATTTTATCTAAATGTAATAAATTCATTTCAATTAAGATATGCCACCTCATAAGCTGAAAGAGGTCATTTTATTGTTGAATTGAAAATTCATGTGTGTATGTCATGTCGTGTAAATAGAGCACGAGCATCCATAAAGGTGAACACACACAAATACAAAAACTTATCCTCACACCCATACACTCATCTATGCACTCGAGCCAAGACTGCATATGAAGGATACAACTCTCATCTCTCGTTTTCTCGCTCTCTCTCTCTCTGTCTCTCTCTCTTTCTAACACAATGTTAAAAAAGTTGATTTATTTGGGGGCTTTCAAACATAACTGATGTATTTTAAAGTAAATACCGTTGTGTTACATGTTAATTCTACTGGGAAAAACTAATGTGATGGTATTAAACTATTATTTAGAACACCAATACTCTAAAAGCATATTAGCTTTGCTCAAAATGGTGGTTTGACTCTTCAGTGTCATTGGCCCATGTTATCTATGTTGTGTAATCACAGTAGGGTTGTAGGACATATGGCACTTAAATAGGAGCAGGAGCACTTTACATTTTTGAAATTCAATCTATTCAATTATTGGATTGTTAATGAGTCTAGCTTTTTAAAGATTTGGAACCTTTTCTGAAAGGAAAACTCTCTGCTTTTATGTGAAAATAAATTCTTTGAACCTTTTTTTTTTGGGGAGATTGTATATATGTAATTACATCTAGGTCATTAAAATCCATTACAAATTGTGATGTTTAAATGTCTATAAAATTATTATAGAATTCCAGAGCGAGAGAGAGAGTGAGTGAGAATGAGAGAGAGAGAGAGAGAGAGAGAGAGAGAGAGAGAGAGAGAGAGACAGACAGACATGTTACTGAAGAAAACAGCAAAACCTGTTGAACTGGAAAGGGAGAGAGCAGGAAATAGTTTCATGCTTCTAAAAACCCACACCAATACACACAGACACACTTTTTTTTTTTTTTTTTGCTTCTGGTTTTGCTACTTATAAACCCTTTCTCTAGCTTAACTTTCATTTGAATGAAATAGGGTTAAATTTTTCCAGATACACAGCAAGACTACAGGCTACATAACCATACTGAAGATGTCAATTTATTATATTATAAATTATTTAGTATCAAAATGTATTCTGAAATGCTTCAAAATGGTTCTATGAGCTAAACATTTTAGATTTGAATTTCTGAAATTGATTATGAACACAGGTTCGTTGAGTTTTCAATAATAAGAATAAGAAGAAGAAGATACATAAATAGAAACAAGTGTCTCTGAGCCATCTGTAAACACCTGTGATCACGTGACCGATACCGTGTGCATTGTTGCAGGTTATCTTTTCGGTTTGTCGCGCGCTCGGTTTCGTCAATACCGACCTTTATATACATTCAAATTTCGTTTCCGAATAAAACAGGCTAAATATCTAATTTTTACAATAGTTTTTAAAATGAACACTACTTGGCGAGCTTTACCTGAGAGCAGAAAACTGAGAAGCAGCGGCGCCACTATCAGTCTCTTCATTGTGCTCCACTTCACCAGACGAGACGCGCTTAATTAAAACAACCCTGAGCACAAATGTGGCCTTAAATTCACGTACAAAGTGAAAGGAACCAAGAAAAAAAAGTTAAACAGAGGTTTTTCCTGTGAAAACCATAGGTCGTAACTAAAGCGTTCCTGCTTGAGCCCGGCTGATGCTGCTGCTGGGCCTCGTTCCTCCTCAGCTTCCGCGGTGTTCTGACTCCTCCCCCACACAGGTGCTTCACATGACGTCACCATGCCGCTCGCTCCAGTTTACCTGTGCGCGAGCCGGTTAGATAGCTAGACCACTTAACATATTTCAAAATGGCGGCGGTTTACAGTTGTTGCCTATATTAATCTTTCTACATTTTAGCAACAAGCATTACTGGCCTGGAAGTTGTGTTATGTTCATAATTTCTCTCCACATAAAGCTGTTATATGGAATAATGCAGACATTACAATTAGGAAAACCTGGAAAAATGGAAAAAGTAAGGTTATCTGTTATGTACCAGATGTTTTAGATAAGTCTGGTCAGTTACTTTTATATGGGCATTTCATGCGTACATGGTCCTCCTTTATTTAATGCTAATAAAA